ATCCTAGCCCCTCCCCCTCCAAAAAATTGAACCAAACAAGAGAAAAATAAAAAAGTCCCTCCCCTCCCCTCCCTTCCCCTCCTTTTCCCTCAAACCAAACACTAGCTAAAGGTAGAGAGAAGGCAAAAAAAGATTTTTCTTGTGGGGTGTTTTCATTATTGTGCAGTAGTTTAGAAGGGAAGGTGATGACGTGGCGTTTCTTGGCATAAAGTAGACTATTTTTAATTTAAAACTATGTCAATTAATAATTCTCAAATATGATTATTTAATCATTACCCTAACTAGTGCATACCTCGTACGATACACGTGATACATATAATAAATCAATTATTCTATAAGACTTGTACGTCTAGACAAAAAAACAATAGACTTGGATCATCTATATTTCACATCTTTTAATAAGTGGCGTTTATTTAAGCCAAAAAATTAACATTTAATTAATATATAATTCCGCTAACACGTCATACTAATATTTATTGATTTTAGAATACATATTTATTCATTGATATAAGAATTTTTTTTATTAATTATTGTTCACCATATAATACTCAATTATTATTTTATTATAAAATTTACAGTCATATAATGTAATTATTATTATTTATAAAAGTTGTAGAAGTAGTCTTCTTTATGTAATGAAATTCAAAATAAATTTTTGAGTATAAATGTTTACAAAATACACACATGTTTTTTAGAATTCAATTTTCTCATAATAATTCTTTTTTTTTAAAAAAAAATAATTTAGCAATTGCCAAAAAAATAAATCCCTTACATAATCAAGAGATTTTTTCTAATTTTCATCCTAAGGCTTTATAGTTTATTTAACATACTATGCAATAGAAAAATATTTTACAACAAGTTCATTTTTGAAATATAACAAAAAAAAAGTGATAAAAATACTATCATAGTTGACAATAATATACAAATAAATAATATGTCGAAATTTTAAAGAACAACTAATATAATTTTATTATCTAACCATCAATAAAATCATTTAATGTTGTGATTATTATCTTTTAAATAATAAATAATATTAATTTTCTTAAAAAAATATTAGTGTTATATAATTAAATAAAAGTTAAAAAATATTACTCGACAAATATTAATTATAATGGATATCAGTAAAATCATTGCATAAATTATTTAAGGAAAAAATCTTTAAGATCATATTTGAAAAGTAAATGTAAATATGCAAACATTTAATGCATATAGTAAAAAATTTTCAAATAAAATATGCATTAAATGTGTGTTGACTTTTCTTGCTACTGTTTTTGGTAAACATGCTGACTTTTAAATATGTTTACAAACTTAACTCGGCTCTTTACTGTTGGCCATTCCTACACATATTTGGATGGGACGGAATTCCTAAAATAAAAATATTTGGATTAGCATCCAAACTCTATATATTATATCCCTCTTTCTCATTCATCACTCTCTAAAACAAAATAAAATTATAACAATGATTCTTCCCTCGTTTAAGTCCTTCTGGCGTCGACTACGCTGACATACTCTTTCAAAACGGGAAGCCTCGGGCCTTGTGCCGGCCGCCGCGCGCTTCTGGAACCGGCCCGTCAGTGGCTAAAAGAACCAATTTTGTCGCGCGGCTGAGCAGCAGCTGTCACGTGGAGGTTGTGACGTGGGAACTCAAGTACGAGGTTGTCCACTGGGCCGTTGATTATGATGAATATGAAACGACGGGGTTTAAGGTATACGAGAGGTTCCACGTGGCGGAGCACTTGGCGGGGGGCCGTGCTGATGAAAACGAGTTGCTGCTCGTTAGCGCGACTCTCGACATGCTCTCGCACAACTTTGGTCCGGGGGGCGGGGGACTGTTCGGGGAACACGCGTACATGTGCCCACAGACGGAGAGAATTTGAGGTTCGTCGGCTAAGGTTGAAGGACGATAGTTTGGAAAAGGTGGATCATACGGGAGATGTTTGTATATTCTTGGGAGCTACAGGTGGAAAAGATTGAAGTGCCTAACTACATTCGCATTCAAGTGCCTAACTACATTCACTATGCGACAACAGATGGTAATGGGAAAACCTGACAAATTATTCGTCGTCCATGAACATGGCAGCTTCAACATGGAAGATGGCACGATCCAGCGACATTATTTTGACATTTCAAGCTTACAAGCACAAGGGTCGTGTATCGGTTGGTTCACGCCTGTATTACGAACCTGAACGATTAGTAAATATTGCGGTGATTACCATGTTGAGTATGTACTTAGTACCTAGATTCATCATCGACAACAAATATTGTGATTAGTGATTTATAGCTGTCTGCTTTTCTTGTTTTGACAATTTTCATATCTATCAAAGCCTGTATTTTTAATGCAAATCCATTAGTTGAGCCAAAACCCAGTTGGTGAGTACTTAACCTGGTTTTCAATCTGATTTACATTAGCTTACGATTCATCAACGGCGGCTACAAGTAATGTATGTCTACTTAGCCTAGTTTATGTGCTAAGGTCAAATACTCAGTGCAAAGTAAGAAGATTTTTGTACGGAAGTGTGAATATACAGTACAGATGTTACAGCAAAACACAAATGTGAGTTCAAAATTCTGTTCACATGATCATCAAGTCAAACTCAGATTATATAGGTTATAACGAGATTGAGTCGAATCAAGCATTCGTATTTCAAGCCCGATCAAGGCAAGCACTGCTCAAGTTTATTTGTTTGTATATTGTTTAAACGAAAATTACGTGATTACAGGAAACCAGATATGATGGCTTATTGAAGAAAATAGTTAGTCCATGGAAGTTGTGCTGTAATATCAGAAAAGTTTCTATTGAAGCTCCTAATTGCTTCAATGTGCGGTTCGTCTTCTTGAACCGGCACGATTTTGGCAAATGCGCCTTCCTCTAAATGGTCCACCACTCTATTTGCAGCTTCAAGCCCACTCACATATGATTTCTCCTGTTGTAAAAATGAAAAAAAAAAAGAGCGGACAAATTCCTTAATTTTCAATAAATACATTGTACAAAGTAAATGATCGATTCACCCGACATTCGACAAGAACCCGTTACCTGTGACCATGATCCGTGACGGTTTACTATCCAATCCCCAGCCATGTATAAGTTAGGGAAAGATGTCGACCCTCGCATCATGTACTTATATGAACCTTGAAACGAAAAAACAAAATAAAAATAAAAACAGATTTCGTCGACCACTTCTCATGTTATCTTGTTTGGTAAAACAAAAATCTGTCTTTTTCGAATTAAAGATTACCTGGGAAAAAGTGGGTATGGAGCTTCGGATACCTCCCGATTTCCTTATCGACCACGATTGCATTTTCAAAGTCGTCGATACACCTTGAGAGCCAAGACATCACCTTTTCGACAATTTTTTCGTCTTTTAGTGGCATCAACTCGTTCGCATGATACTGCACTTAATTGCCAAACCACGGATCTTATAACTAAAAACCCGAGTCTAGAAAACGAAAGATACATGGAGAAAAACAAAGGAAAATCGTGAGATCTTATACTAAATCAGCTTGGACAATCATCAATGAACTGCCTTTATGCTCGTCGTGTATTCCGGTTAGGTCGAAGAAAGTCCAAGCACAAGCATTGCCGTATCCACAAGAGACATTGCTTGCATGTGGAATATTAACCTGCTCGCCGAGCAGTAAAATGATAAGAGGAGTAAAAAATGGGTAATGTTCGTTGCAACACGAAAAATATATAAAATCTGGTGTACCTTCCTATCAAGCCAAAGCTTAACCGTAACCAAATCCGCGCTTTTCAGCTTCATAACGTTCAGAAACTCATCTCTCGAACACAACACTGCACTAAAGAAAATGGAAATCACGAATTAAGATAAAGCAGGATCAATATCCTAAACCCTCCCTCGTTTGAGCTGATGACCAATAATAATAAAACCGAGCCTAGAAAGCTTTACTTACCTTGTTTGGATAATTTCTTGGAGGGTTGAGATCCCGACAGACAATATGAAGGCATCAGCCTTAAAACTCTCCTTCTCGCATATAACTTCAGAAACGCAACCCGTTTTCTCGTCAAGCACAAAATCTGTTACTTTTCTGCCCTCGAAAAACCGGCAACCATTGGATTTTAAGGATTCTATCCATGGCTGGAAAATTTTCTCTCTAATCGGCCCACGACACCATACCGAGTTGAAATTTTTCTGTACCAAGCCATTAGGAATGTAGTGCTGATTGACTAAATCAAGATATACGTGAGCAACATTAAACCTAGTAGACAACAATCTAAGAGGCCGTAGGGGGAATAAAACTTCTCTTTTCAGCAAAAAATTAAAGCACATTAATTATTCAGAATCCAGAATGTTTTGTAAATAGAAGTTACAAGATGAATGTCAACAGAGAACTTGGCCAATAATTTGTCCAAAATTCTTATAGGCAGAAAAAAGTTTGGACAAAAAGTAGAATCAGAAGTAGAATCGAAAAAAAAAAAAAAAGAATCGATTTTTACCAAACCTGGTTTGCGAGCACGAAATAATATAGCATCCCTAGGGTAGCAGCAGCGCTACATTGCTCGGCACGAGCATACAATCCCACTTGAATCAACGGATCAAAAACATTGCTAAAAAGTCTCTCCGAGCATCCATATTGTCTCAACATTTCCCTTGCGGTGACTTAAAAAAAACGACATTTCAAGTACACGGAACAAAGCTACTTAAATTCATCTGCATAAAGTTAGTATTTTCTCACTTGAGTCGTATTTTCTCCATGCAGTATCAGTGTTGTCGAAATCAATTACTGCCCATAAGAAATAATAACGAAAAAAAAAACCAAAGGGTTGAAAATTAAGTTGTTCGATTATCTATTGAAGTTCGGACAAGACCTAAGTACGAGCTTACCAGCAGCCATGAGAGGAAGTGATGTCAACCGATCGATGAGGGGCAGTCGAACAAACTACAAATGAAATGATGCAGTAAAATTAGGTTAAAATAAAACTTGCAGATGAGACTTAAACAAAAGTTTACACAGTCAATGAGGGACATGCTTGGGTGTTGAATAATGTCCCGAATGGCGTTGGCAGCTGTGGCAAGCCTTGGAATATAGGATATTCGACCTGAATAAAACAGAGGCCATATAGGAATCATTTAGAAAAATAAATCTAATAGTACCTTGAGGCTTTAGTCATATGGAATTCTTGAAAACAACAGATAAAAGATGGAATAATAAAGAACTATCGATCGAAATTAACTCACCTCCAATCCTTCTTCGGAATATTGTGCAGACTTCATCCAACTCGTGAAGGGTTCAAGACCAAGCTCATCAACCAAGTTAAATATATTCCGGTAGGGATACCAAAAGCCTAATAATTTCATAAAATACAAAATAAATAAAACAGAAGGAGAAAGAAAAATGTCGAAGTGCAGACCAAACATCAAATACCTTGTGCCTGTACTTAATATTTTCAAAAACATTACATATTCTTTTGCTGGTAACAAATATAACCAAGCATGTGTGAAATTAAGAGACAGTTAAACTCGAGAAAAACGACTAATTACCGTTTATGCCCGCCTCTTCAGGACTAATAGACTTCGTTTTGCGGCCAAGTTCATAACCACCCTCAAGAACAGTAACATCAAACCCCTGAAACAGAATATATATCATCATCATACTATCAATTTGGACACACACAAAAGAAAAAAAAAAAAAAAAAGAATAAATACATTAGTTATGTAGTAATCAAAGGTAAAAACACCTGTTTGCAAAGGTGGTGAGCAGCGCCGAGCCCGGCCCAGCCTGAACCCACTATAACGACTTTCTTCCTGTTTCGCCTTTCAGTAAAAGGCACTGCTTGATCCTCCGCTCTGCAACAAAGCCCACGTCTGAAATTACACTGATCAACCCTTGGAAAAACGGGCCGGGCCCTCCAACAGGCCAACATCTTTGATTTGATAAGCAAAATGAATATAAAAAAAAAAGAGAGAGAGAGAGAGAGAAAAAACGACTAACGACTATTTAAGTGCTCCCGGGCTTTTTAACAAGATATCTGTTGATAAGTAGATTTATTTTTATTTTTTTTTTGGTGAAATTCATTTTGAAAGGAAGAGACGAAATAATAGTGACTTGCCTCCCTACAGCCACAAAAATTGGACCGCAAA